AAGTGCTGATCTGCCTAGTTACTGAACGAAAGTGAGTCTATGAGCTGGGTGAGCACAACGCTAACACGCCCTCGCCAAAAGGCAAGCGGATGCCACACATGCAAAAGGCCTTTTGCCGCGAGATGACAGAACAGCAAAATCTGTGGCGAAGTGGGATCTGCGAAAATCGCGTTGATGCAGGTCTCGATACCACTGGCGCCGGACACCGACTAACGAAGGGGGTCCTCCGATGATCCGTGATCTGGTTGTGTTCTTGCTCACCTTGTGTACCCGACGGCGGGCGGGTTACGCTCTCCTGGGTGGCTCGTTCGATGTATATCTAGGTAAGTTGGAACGCAGGGGTTTGAGATAGCGCGGAACTTCTTTGCTCTACCTCGTTTAGGTCGATCTCAGTCGCTGACGAGTCCTTGAGTCGCGATCGAGCTGCCTGGTTGTCGATCCAGGTCTTTAGGGGGTCCAAATACGGAGATCTTGCTCCTTCCTTGTGTATGCTTGCCGCTTCCAATAGCGGGGAACTTGTTGTGTCGAGATCCGATGTAATCTTCAGGTCAAGCAATCAATGCCTTCCGATCAACAGTGAACACTTGAGAACAAGTCACTAGGTAGGGCAAAGCTGGCCAATATATTATCCAGGCTTAACCACTACGCTAGATCCTACGTCCTTACCGTCTGTGCGCTAAGGGGCCAAACTAATCCCCGATTCCTGGCGTAGGCGGACACTTGTGCCGCTTAGAGAAAATTCGAGTTCGTTTACTTTTATCCCTATGTCCACTAACCATCCTCAGCTGCTTTCCTACGATCACCTGACATCTGGATACATACCTCATCTTGGTATCGGCGATCACGATTGGCGATCACAATCGGTGATCTCGATCAGTGATCTCGATGATCTCGATCGGGGATCCCGGCCCGTGATCTTGAGTCATTCCTTGGTCGCCGTCACGCGGTGATCCTCATCGCTGCTGCTCATCCTGGGGCTCATGACGGCTGCCTCCTGACGATCTCGTCCCGCCTCCTTCCTCCGACCCTGAATCACATCTTGCCCTGACCAGGGATCGCCTTTACCTGGGATATCTTGATCGGTAGTGAGTGCGACTCCAACGTAGCCATCTTCCATCAATCCATGTCCGCCGATCCATCGCGGTCCCGATCGCGGGTCGGGAGCGAATCCTGTCCACCCATCCCCCTTGATCTTGCATTCTCGCGTCGCGGTGTAGGTATCGTCGCCATCCATCATTCGGGGGTCAATCTTGGGCCATCCGAAGTCAACGTCACTCACCGACGTTGTTGCACGCTGGACCTTGGAGAGATGACTTGAGGTCTTGGATTGGAGTGGGATTTCTGTCGCCTGGTCCGTCTCTATCTCGCGATCTGGCAGCCGAGGTTGCTTTTCTCGCGAGATCTTGATCGCACTTCACCACATCCGCCATCAGCCTGTCCTGGTTCACTTCCGGTCTCATTTCAAATTCGCCGACTCGGACGCACTCTTCTTCATTCCTCCGCCAGCTATTCCTATGAGTCAGGCAGACAGCGACTCCGGGAGTCCCCCAATTCCGACTCCTCCCGGATCTCCACAGTCCACAGCGAGCAACCGGTCGCGACACTGTACTATCTCGCGTCGCTCGCGCTCTCACACCTCCGATCAAGGTCGGCGGTTAACCATCTTGGAGGGTGAACTCCGTCAGAGCAACCTCGCGCGGGATCGCTTCGTCCGGGATCGAGATCACCTCGATCTGCAAGTCCGCCAGCTGCGATCCGACGTCCGGGACATGGAAGTGTTCCAGCACGGCCAGCGAGACCAGATCGCCCGCTTAGTGGCCGAGATCTCGACCTTCGCCTACGACGCCAGTGACGATCCTAAAGGTCTCCGCGCCCAAGTTCTCCAACTTCGCTCAGAGCGTAACGACTTCGAGCGTCACACGATTTCCGCCCGTGAAGGTCTTCATCATGCCGAGGCGGATCGCGATCGTCTCCGCCAGGAAGCCACCCAGGCCGGCGGAGAGATCCGGGACTTGCAGGAGCAGGTCCGCGTTTTGGAGCGCGAGACCGACGACGCGAGATCCGAATCCGCCACCGCTCTCGCCAGCTACAACCAGATCTCTTCCAGCCTCACCCATCCGCAACCAGATCACGGAGGGGGATCACCCCTTGGAGGTTCTACCTGTCTGGCCCAGACGAACAGGGATCGTGTGTTGGCGGATTTTGCACTCGCCCGCGCAACCCTGACGCAAGTCACTTCCGATCGAGATCGGGCCTTCACGCAACTCGCCCAGCTCACCGAGGATCGGGATCGGGCGCTGGCCGATCGCGACATGGCCCTCCATCACCGTGATCTGGCGATTGCTGAGCGCGATCAGGTCCATTTGGATCTCTACACCGAGGCTGCCCGCGCCGCCCAACTGGACAATGATCTTGAGGTGGTTCGCCTGGAGCTTCAGGGATGAGAGGGCAGCATGGCGGATCTCCAGCTTGCCCACGACCAACTCGGCGAATTGCGAGATCTGGCCGAAAGTGATCTGACCGAGACCGATCTGTTCCTCACGCATCTCGCTAGCCGGATCGGAGAGAGTCAAGCGGCGCGGATGCCGAAACGTGAGCGAAGTCCGCCCAGTTCTCTCCCCCCAACTACCGTCACTCAAGACGCCTTGCGGCGATCAGCCCATTTCTCCGCCGCCCGACAAAGATCATCCCAAGATCGAAGATCCAGAGGGTGATGAACTCGAAGATAAGCGCGAGATCTCAGGAGGAGGTGGAGGCGATCCGGGTGATGACGACTCCCCTTTTTCAGATCATGGACCCTCGACGCCTCCTCACTCACCTCACGGATCCCCCGGAGGAAGTCCAGGTGGTGGTTCCCCTGGTGGTGGCTCGCCTCTCCAACTGAATCCGCCGTTATTTCCTGCCGAGGCGAGTGTTCCCCGATATTCCACGGTCAAGATATTCACGGCAGCCGCGATCACCCCGTGGGATCCAGCTATCGTGGGCACCGTGCCGATCGTCGCCATGATTAAGGCCACTTTGACCAAGAGGTTACCGATCCCGCCCGGCTTCCTGTTCCCTATTCAGGCCCCTTTTGTTCGGGCGCCCATACCCGTGACTGGTTATCGTTCTGAACTGATCACTGATGCCAACGTGTTGGCTCTGATGTCTACTGCATCGTAGCGCGTGCTTCGACAAAATCGCCCCACTCCGCTGACTTTCGATCACGGCCTCCACCGGTGGACTAGCACCCCTCTATGGCGGATCGCCGCATCGTATGCTGCCCTGGAGGAAGATCACCTGATAGCGTATTCTCGGTAGATCCGACCGAATCGCGTTTTCTTCCCACTCCACACATCCGAGATCCATTCGACTTCGTACTCGTCAGCCCCGAGATCTGGATCCCAGCTATCCTCCGGAAGCAAGATCTCATCCAAGTCGAGGCGATCCGACTCGTCTACCGTGAGTTCTATTCGCGGTCGATCCGAAAAGTCCTTGACCAATTTCAGCTTCGACACATGAACTACTGGGAAGGTCTGGTACCCAGTACCCGCGACCTCAAGCTTGAGACTGAATTCGTTGATCTTTTCAGCCACCCGGAATGGCCCATGCCACAGGTGATCCAATTTCCGCGCGTATCCTCCCTTCACTCGGTCTAAGTACAACCAGACGCGAAATCCAGATCCGTCTGGTGCGATCCGACGTCCTCGTTGTGGCGGCTGGCCCGATCTGCAATGGCTTCGTTCAATCTGGCGTTGACTTGCTCCTGGGACTGCTGATAATATCGCTGGACCCGATAACGCCACCGCCGCGCGTCTCGATCGCACCGTCTGGTACATCCGACCGGCAGCGTAGCTTCCTGCGTCGATCTCGGATCCCATCCATGCACCAGATAATGAGGGGTATCCCCTCGGATCCGATCGTGAGCCGTGTTGATCGCAAAGGTTAGTCGCTCAGCATACTCATCCCAATCCTTCTGATCGAGATCACGAACGTACATCTTAAGCGCCCGGGTCGCAGTTTGCACCATTCTCTCGGCGCTCCCGTTGGCTTGTGGTCGATATTCCATAGTCGCCCGCTGCCGTTGTCCTAGGATCTTATTAAATGCCCGGAAGAAGTCGGACATGAATCCGGGTTCTCAGTCATGCCAGATCATCTCGCTGGCACCGAATCACCGAAATACACATTCTTCGTATGATTCCGCGACCGTCTGGGCCGACCGGGACGAGCTAGCTTTCGCGATCACGTATTCTGTGAACAGATCGACCCAGATCAATAACTCCGTATTCCCTTTGTGGGATCTGGGTAGCGACGGTATGTGATCCATCGCAATGATCTGGAACGGGTACGTCGCCTACAAGTTCCCCGGTGATTCACCTCGGATCACGGGTTTTCCTTTTCCCGTCTCACAGTCCACGCAATCCCGCACATATCGCTGAACGCTCCGATATAGTCCTCTCCAGTGGAATTGATCCCTGAATCGTTGATAGGTACGCCCCCTCCCCGATGTCCTCCTTCGAGCGTAGTGTGATAATAATGGAGGACGTCCGATTGCAGCGTTTCGGGAACTACCAATCTTAACAACCGATCGCGATTATCTCCCGATCTCGGCGTGGGTGGGCGGTAGAAGAGTAGATCCTGCTCGTCCACCTCATAGTCGGCAGCGATCTTGCCGCACGACCTTGCTTCTTCTTGCGTGAGGCCTGCGATCGCGCCACTCAGATAATTCTTCATGTCTGCAATCCAGACTTCCTCCTCCTGAGTCCGCTTGATCCGATCGACCCGCATCTCCCGGATCAGGTCCTCTTGCATGACACCCGCAGGTGGTCTTACTCGAGCAGCTCGAGTGGTAACCAGTGCCACTCGCATCACTGGGTTCTAGGTCCTGGGAATCAAGATTTCGTCTAACCAGTTCAGAGTGACCAGATCCTGGTACCCGTGCCCTCTCTGGACCTCGATCCCGCCTTGTCGTTGTAAAGCGGCACTCGCCAGACTGTCGGCACTCCCATTCCAGTCTCTCTTCACATCACTAGCTCATGATCACTCCATTTCCTCAGGCGATCGAGGGCCTTCCGCTTCATTAGCGTCAACCCGGGTGCTTCGCAGTCGATCTCGCCCCGCACTTGTTGGATCACTAAGTTGGAATCCCCGCAGATCACCAGGCGCTTGCGATCTAGGCCTTCTAGCATGTCGAGTCCCAGGATCAGGCCGTTGTATTCTGCTTCGTTCACGGTGAGGCTCTCGAGATTGCCCGATCTGGCTTTGGCCACCTCCCATCCGGGGAGACTCCACGCGATCGCGCCTCCGATCGACACTCGGTGTCCCCGATATCCTACCTTATCCAAGCCCCAGAAGCCCTTTGCCACACTGATCGATAAATTCCACTTATCACAGGCCCACAACAGATCTTCCGCCTTTTGGTACATTTGATCCCACGATTCTGCTGCGATCATAATGTCGTCAATGTATGATCTCCGTCCCAACACTGACCCACGATCAGGATCGTCCGCGATCCCTGTCTGGAACACGTCCGTTGTAGCCCCGGCGTCGCCTGATCGCGAGATTTTCAGAAATCCATACTGCGCGTTGTCTACGAGGCGTTGATAAATCTGCGGGGCATTTTTAGGCCAAAAGGCATGCAACTCCATTCGAACAATCCAAACGGGTTGATGAATGCTGAGATCTCGCGCGCCCGATCCGTCATGGGCACAACCCAGAAACCGCTGGCCATATCCGGCGAGCAATACCATAACGCCTTATCGAGGTCTTCTAACAGATCACTGATCAGGGGCATGGGATATATCATCAGCCTCGTGAGGCTGTTTACCAGTTTGTAGTCGATACACAACCTGATATCCACACCGTTACTCTTGCGAACAATCACGATCGGTGAGGCCCATGGTGATGTCAAGGGTCGGATGATCTCGGCTGCCAGGAGGCCCTTGATCAGGCCTGCGACTTTTCTCGAAATCGCGTAGGCATCGCAGTGCGACCGGTTTCGCATTTCCGACATCGATGTCACACACGACGCCCTTGGCCGCCGGGGGTAAGGCGTTCCCTTTGTCGATCAGGAGGTGTCGCTTCTTCCAAATGATCTGCCGGAGCTTCTCGATCTCCTCGGGTGTGGCCGATCCGGCATCTCCCACCTGCAGATCCTCAATGCTGACCTTGGCGGTCGTCGAGATCGGAATCTCAGGGAGGACAACGAGGTTTCCCTCGAGTTCTTCAGCTGAGAGATCACCACTCTCATGGTAATATATCTCATCAT